GAGAGAGAGGCAGAGGGAGAAGCAGGCTCCCAAGGAGCAGAGAGTCTGATGTGGGACTCGATTCCAGGACCCTGGGGTCATGACCTGAGCCAAAGGCAGACGCTCAACCATCTGAGCCACCCAGGCACCCTCTTTACTGCAGTCTTAAAAACAATTGAATTTAGGGAAAAAACAATTCAGGGACTTGAATAGATATCTGCATAATCATTTCATAGAAGCACTATTCACAACAGCTGAAAGATGGAAGTAACCCAAGTGTCCACTGATGGATGAATGGATAAACCAAATGTGGTATGTATCCATACAATGGAATGTTATTCAGCCTTAAAAAGCAGGAACTTCTGACACATGCTATAATATGGGTGAGGCTCAAAGACATTATGCTAAGTGATACATCAGTCATAAAAGGACAAGTGCTATAGGATTCCACTTGGATGGGGGTACTTAGGATAGCCAGATTCATAGGGACAGAAATTAGAATGGTGGTTGCCAGGGGCTGGATGGGGGAGGACAGAGTTTCAGTTTGGGAAGAGGAAAAAATTCTGGAGATGAATGATGGTGATGGTTGCACAACAGTGTGAATGTGCTTAATGCCACTGATCTGTATAAAAATGACTAAAGTGGTAAAGTTGATCTTATGTATATTTTACTCTGGATCCCAAACTGCTGGCCAATCTGCGGGTTGGTATAAGCATAGCCAAGACTCCCTGGGGAAAGTGTCAGAGGGCCACTGAGGATGGCACTGGGGACCCTGGGCACATCACCACAGAAATGTTCCTCCTCACGGGGATAGAGAGGCTTGTTCAGGAACAAGAAAAGCCACTCACTTAATGAACTCCCATAAGAAGTCAGGGAACCGCTGGATGACAGACTGAATGTTCCCCAAGGATAAATGCATTATTCCCATGTTCTCTGGCTAGATGCCATCAGGGGGCTAATTAAATAAGAAATTTCATTAAATTCATAAACTGATTTTTGTTTGCTTTTTATTTTTCAAACAGCAGGTACCTACATATGGAGTAACAATTCACAGAATACTACACATACTGGGTTCAAAATGATGCTTGCCTTTGTCGGGGAGAGTGGGGGCTGCAATGGGGGTGGGTACAGGGATTTTTGGCTACGTGTGTTCCACCGCTCCCATACACTCTAGTGTCGGCCAGTCTGATGGTGTGAGCTGGTAAAGCTCCATGATTAAATACGCATTTCCCTCACCTATGGGTGGAGCACCCTGCCACATGGTCACTGGCCTTTCTGGGTTCATCCTCTAGGCAGTCTTGTTCCTAACTCTGCCCGTTTCCTAACAGGCTGTTTGTCTTTTTCTTCTTGCTTTGGATGACTGAATTCTTTGTTTGGACCAATTCTGTATACTCTTTAGACCTTCCTCCTTCCAATAACCCAAGTCCATTTTCTTTCAGGCAGCTTAGCCTAATGGAAGTTTCCAGATACTTGCTATGGTTCACGTCGCTCTGAACTGACTAACCTGCAGGGATGGTATTCAGGAAGCAGCGTGACGTGCATGGCAAGTGCCTCACGTGGTCACGGCATGGGGCGGGTGGCCTGTTTGGGGTTACTAATTGTAGTCAACCTTTCCCAAACGTGGGCCATGGGCCCAGTAATAGGCAGCTGGTCCCCATATCCTTGTGAAGTAGGGAAGACTCTCCTCATTTCACAGAGAAGGAAGAGAAAAGAAGCATCAGTCTCCCAATTCCTTTCAGTTGTAGGATTGCTGGTCCTAAAATACGGCCAGCGTGAAGAGGTTACCAATGGCACGACCACCATCTTGGCCACCCAGGCTCTGCCAGTAACGGCCCCAGCGGCCTTGGCCTCAGGCTCAAGACTCCCCAGGCCTACCTTCAGGAAAGAGGGAGAGACTATTTTAAGGAAGCCAACGGAAAAAGCTGTTAATGACAAAAAAGATCCTTAATGACCATTTATTCTCCGCTTTCAGCACATTAGGAGAGACTCAAATACCCCAAGAGAATAAAACCTCCCTTTCTGACTTCATTTCAGGTTGCTAAGCTCTCCAAATTTCTCCATTTCCATTTTAATGGCTTCTTTTCCTGTTTACACAACCTCTGTAAACAAACTTTCCAAAGAGGAATGGGGAATGGAGGTTGGCAGGAGGCTGGCTGCAAAGTCCAACTCCAAGCTTTCAGATTAGAGGGGAAAGAGGATTCCTTATTTATTGAACCAACACTCCATTAGTCAGGCTCTAAATTTAGACCTGGCCCTGCCCTCAGGAGCTGCCAGCCTCGATGGGGGGGGAGCTCAATTATAACCTCGTGTGGCTGCATGATTTCACAGAGTGCTCAGTTCTATGCAGGGGAATTCCTGGGGTCCCCCAAAGAAGGGGGTGTCTGTGCTAGACCTTGATGGATGACTGGGAGTTTTCCAGATCCAAGAAAAGGAAGAAGTTGGTGAAACCATCCCGTAAACATTTTGTCTGTCACATAGCAGGGATTGTTCATTAAAGATAAAGCATTTAAAGATAAAGCTGAGCCTGAGTGCCTCAGTCAGTCAGGCATCCGGCTTTTGATTTTGGCTCAGGTCATGATCTCAGGGTCGTGGGATCACACCCTATGTCCGGCTCCCTGCTCAGCGGGGTGTTTGCTTGAGATTCTCTCTCTTCCTCTCCCTCCACCCTCTCCCTGCAACTTGCGCTTTCGTGCTCTCTCTCTCTAACAAATAAATAATTTTTTTTTTTAAAGATAAAACAAGGGTGGGGGAATGGATAAACAAACTGTGGTCTATCCATATGGTGGAATATTATGCAGCCATAAAAAGGAAGGGCATTCTGACACTTGGCACAACATGGATAGACCTCGAAAACATTGTTCTAAAGTGAAATAAGCCAGTCACAAAAGGACAAATACTATATGATTCCACTTACATGAGGTCCCTAGAGTAATCAAATTCATAGAGATAGAAAGTTGAACAGAGGTTATCAGAGGTGCAGGATGGAGGGGTATTATTAAATGAGTACAGAGTTTTTGTTGGAAATGTTGAAAAAGTTTTGGGTATAGATAGTGGTAATGGTTACACAACTTTGTGAACACATTTAACGTCACTGAATTGTACACTTAGCAATGGTTAAAGTGATGAATATTATGTTATATATATTTTATTATAGTTAAGTATGTTTAATGTTAAAAAATAGGGGTGCAAAGATACAAATGTAGGGATCCGAAGGGGTACGTGCACCCCGATGTTTATAGCAGCAATGTCCACAATAGCCAAACTGTGGAAAGAGCCAAGATGTCCATCGGCAGATG